ATTTTCGGATGAAAGGAAATAAGTACAACAGTGTCTAACGAGTATATATTAGTTGTATTTATATAGAAAACCGAAATTGCAGATCTCACGAGTTAACCCGGGAAAAAATCGTTTTTTTAAATCTATTTTTTTAATTCGAACGAGTGTGTTAAGCAATTAAACACAGTCAAGTTAGGGAGGAATTCATTATATACAAATATAATGATAAATTCGAAGAGTCATCGCTTAATTATTTTGTCAAGTGTCAGGCGAGTCGAAGTTTCAGAGGAGGGAGAATTCTACTCGTTTCTCACCTGCGTTTTCAAACAATATATATATATATTTTTCTTTATATGTTTCTCTTTCTTTTTAATCTCTTTCTTTCTTACTCTCTTCTCTCTCGCCTTCATTTCACATATACATTGCAAACTTCATACGAAGAAGAAGAAACCTCTTTTTGCTCGATTCGTACTTTTCGTACGTATTATTTCCGACTCATCTCACTTTTCTATATGATATATTACGCATCTACATGTCGATTACGTTCAACAATCGCACCGTTTGGAGAGCGGAGAGATTTCCACTTTTCCCTTCCTGCTCTTTGATAGAGTTAACTCCTTTCCCTTTGCGGTCGAGCAAGTTGCACGCCAGAGAATGTTCATTGGAATTAGCCGCACTTTTGATGGACTCGAAGAAAAAGAAAAGTAGTCTATTCTTTTCTCTCGTTCCTTTTTCCAATCTCCTTCCCTCCTTTCCTCTTGCTTCTTCCCAAATTCAACTAATTGCTCCTCCAATCCTATTTGCGTTTCAAACGTGTCCAAGATTTGCCGTCCATCCATCGAAACACGTTTTCATCCTAAATTTCTTTTTTTTTACCGCTGCCTCCTTCGATTTCCCTCCCCTCCCCCTCTCTCTTTCTCTCTCTCTATATATATATATATATATATTACACATTCGTCCCCTCTTCCGCCCCGAATTTCCCTCGATTTTTTTCTTCCCACGGGGAAAAGAGCGAACATCCCGATCGACATGCCGGTGATTTATCTTAACCGGCTTCCCTTATCGCACACCTTCTTCCCTCCAATCTCTCTATTTTTCTCTCTCGAACCCTATTCGTCCACGCGGATATGGATACCTCGCTCGCCCGTTTCCAACTTTGACACTTGGAAAAATTTCTTCCTCTCTCTTTCCTTCTTCTTTTCTTTCTTTCCAAACTACTTTCCAGGAAATTGGAAACTTGTTTTTTTCCTCGCTCGAGTCGATTCAAAAATCAACGTGGCAGTGAATCGAAGGACTGGAAAGGAGTCACAAAGTTTCAAGTTCGCGAGATCAACTTTTTCCCTCCGCTCCCTAGTTACGGGACATTCTCCTCTCCTCTCTTCCTCCTCCTCCTCTTTCCCTCGACGTATCTCCAATCGCTCCCGATTTTTCCTACACTCGATCGTGTATCATATCCTCGATCTCTCGATCGCGTTAAATCGTGATTCGAAAGAAGCGTAACGAGGTCTTCGAAACTGGAATCAGTGCTTCTCTCGAAGTTTCGAAGTTGGAGGGGGAAGAGTTCTCTCGGTTCTCGTTTTTCTCCTCTCCTCCCCTCCCTTCGTCGAGTTGGTTCTTTCGATCGAAAAGCTGCGCGAGTCCTCGAAGAGTAATTACGGTTTGTTATTTCAGAAAAGCTTTCGTTTTGGCCACCCAATGCCAAAGCTTCCATCGCGCGATAAATTAAATTTTCCTCTCTTTTCCCTTTTCTTTTCTAATCTTCGTTCTGGATTTCGTGGCCTCTCCTTTCCGAAAAAGGCGAAAGACTCTCGATCTGGATCTGGAATTTTTTTTAATATGGTATTTGCCCGCTCTCACGAAATCTTCGAAAATATTTTTAATTTACGAGCCACGACGAGTTTTGGAAGGTCACGAGTAATTGGAGTGGAGTGGCAATTTTGCGAAGCGAAGTGGGTCACTAAGTAATCAGCAATGATGTTTGTTGAAATGTTTCCAGCGTGTATTGGGCGTGCAAATAAGTTCCTTCTCTCCTCTACAAGATCACTCCAGATAATCTTTCGATTCTTCTGGATCGGATTCTCGTCCAGCGATTCCTGTAAGTCATCGTCGTCGAATTTTCTCGATGCATCTGAACGATCTTCGTTTTTCGAATTAAAATTTCGAATTAAATTTTTTGAAATTCTTTGTTACGTTTTTTTTTTTTTTAGAAGATTTAACAGCACGTTCTTTCCGCACAAATCATTTTAATAATTTTGATAGCTGATTTTTACTAAGCTGAAAAAGGCACGCTTCTCGAAAACGAAAAAACGAGCTACGTGAAGTGACTCGAATTCGATCGAAAATTGCGATCGTGGAAAAAAAAAAAGGAATCCACTTCATCTAACGTATCTTTCACGTTGGGACACGAAAAATGTATCGATTATAGTAGAAAAGTAACGCGAGAATCGTGCAAACTTTGTTATCTGATTCCATCCACCCGATTAAGTAACTCAGGTAACGCTCGATCTACTAGCTGCGTTTCCACTCTCTTTTCTCCCTTGGAAAAAAGAAAGAGAGAAAGAAAGAAAACAGATTGAAAAAAAGGAAAGAGAGAGAAGCGAGAAAAAGGAGTGAGTGGAAATCCCCTGCTCGGTCGGAAGGGAGGTTAATTCCCTTGCTCGAATTTCCAACAAAGTCCTTTTCGAGTCGCCTTCTCCGATTTCCTCCGTGTATCGATTCGTTTCCTCCGCCTCCTCGTTTCTCTCCCCAAGATCAAGCGGCCGTGTCGCGTCCAACGTTAATTGTTACCGACGTGCCACTCGTCGGCAAGGTAATCTTTTTTATCAAAAGGTCGCCACCTCCGCAAGATCCTCCCTCGAGAGTCGCATAGAGAGAGAGAGAGAAGGGGAGAGAGCCACCATCGGATTTTGCCTTCAAAGGACGCCGGTCCATTAGCTTTTAACGCTGATGCAAGCTTCCCTCTAATCCCGCACGATCTCTTCCCAACGAGGCGACCGCGATCCACTCGAGGCCCGCAACCTTCTGCAAGAGGAATACCTCTCTCTCTCTCTCTCTCTCTCTCTGTCTGTCTGTCTGTCTGTCTGTCTGTCTCTCTCTCTCTCTCTCTCTCTCTCTCT